GTAAATTATTATATATGCCTGAGTGTTGTTTTTTTGTTGTTTTTGGTTTGGTTTGTAGAGAAATACTGTTAACTGATGGTAGGTACATGGAGGGAACTATAATCATTGTAATGAAACAAGGTGTATGATTTATTTAATGTAAAACTGGTGATCTGCCCTGTAAACTTTCACTCAATCCACAATAAAAACCTTTTAAAAAAAAAGAAAAGAAAAGAAAGAATTGTACAGTTGATAACTGTAGGATATGGTTGGTTTTGTAACGGTTCCAGACTTTACATATATCATGATAGAAAAATGGACACCGTAAAGAAATAACAATGAACTGTTTCTTTTTATGGATAGTTAAAATCTTTGACTTGGAACAAAGACACTTCTGGAAGACACTAGATGTTATATAGGTTTGTGTTCCCTTGATTCTTGTATTCATTTTATTCTTTCTTTTGTTTCTGTTTAGGTTCTATCATAATGAATGGATCCAGTGTGGCCACTACATCACCCAATGTAAAAGCTAAAGAGGACCAGGGTATAAATGGGCATGATGAAAAAGAAAACCCATTTGCAGAGTACATGTGGATGGAGAATGAAGAGGATTTCAACAGACAGGTAAAGACAGACGTGGAAGGCAAATGATGTATGTAACTCAACAGCTATAATACTTTACTGTCAGGCCATTCAGAAAGAAGCAAGTGGATTGACTTTAGAATAACTTAAAATGCTTAGAAGCCTGATTCAGGATCAACAAAAACCATCGTCAGCTGGGTAAGAGATGACAGTGACAGTACTTTGAAGGAAGATAATGATATTTTTCTGCCATGGTGATTAAAAGAAAAACATGTGTTTTAAAATTAAAACATCGGACTAATCCATTGATAGCTGAAAATTCTTACATGATGAGCCCATATATAACAAGATAGATTAGTATGTACCCCACACTGTGATATGCCCTGTACATGTAATCATGTTACATGCTACAGAACAACCTTGCTGTAGCTTCATTTTGGGTACATTTGTTTATTGAATTTGTCTAGGCAACTGTAAGCCATTCTAGGAGTTTCCCAGAGTTGAAATCAAACCAGGCTCCTCTTGGATCCTAGGCTGTGCCTGGTTTTTACATCGATCTATCTGTTCTCTTCTGCCTTTATCCAGCCTTTGAATGAAAAATAGATTGTTGAAAACATAAACAATTTGAACCAGCTTCGATAATACTCAGTGACATCTTTATGGTCCCACTGAGCAGAGTGGCACCAGGATTATTAGGAGACAGTTTCTAAGCTGTGGACTATACTGGCATTTGGTGTACTTAGGTGGAATGCAAGGAAAAGTACAAGACACCTTGACCTTGGGAAAAAGAAAAAAAAAAAGCTAAAGAAAGACAGATGAGAGACCTTATAAATTATAGTTTGTTTCAGAGAGAATTAGGGCAGCAATGACTGCTTTATCCTTGGCAGCTTTAAGGATTGTTATAAATACCAGACACTAAGAAGGACAGAATAGGTAAATAAGTTGTTATGCTAAAATTTCTCCAACCCTAATATTCACCACTAATAAATAATGCTAGCTTGGCAACCTTCTGTTGAAAGTGCTGTGTGATGTTCGAGTCAGGGATTGACTATTTCAGAGCAGCCTTCTTTGTCCCTCACTTGGCTGAGCAGCAGAGTTTAGGAATCTGGAATCTGAATGAGGTCAGTGTTCCCGCACATTACTCTGTTCCTCCATGGTGGCCTGTACAATTTTACCTGTCACCGTCAGTCACATTATAAGCATAGTTTTCATCCACATTAAAACTTTTGAGTTGGATTTTAACAAGAAAGAAATTGATATCTAGCTAGCAATCCAGATACATGTTCTTATTTTCTGATAGCGCATCTAAGAAACAAGGTACAAACTCCATAAACTAGGAGTAATGGTTATTGTTCTATTGAAATGATTTCCATTGACTTGAAGGCAGACAGATCTGTATTGAAATGTAATTTTCAAGGGGAAAAAGACAGAGTAAGTCCCTGTCTTAGTCTGAGTTCTCTAGAGGAGCAAAATCAGTAAAAAATATACAAATATATAGAGAAACATTCATTTCAAGGAAATGGCTCACACAGTTGTGGGGACTGGAATGTCCCAAATCCATGGGTCAGGTGGCAGGCTGAAAACTTCTGCTAGCTCCTGTGATTGCAAGGTCTGGAAACTCAAAATCTGCAGGTCAGGCGATAGGCTGGATGCTTCTTCTGGCTCACAGGGTTGAGGGAGTTTGTGAATCCACGACCTACAAGTCAGGAACAGGCCAGAGACTTCTGCAGACTCCGTTCCAAGAACTGAAGGTCAGCAATGAGAAGAGTGCAAGGTCAAGAAAAAGAGTGAGCTTTGTCAGAACAGGCATTTGTGTTCTGAAGACAGGCCGCACCCCACAAGGAAATTCCATTTTCAACAGATTGGCTGCTCACATCAGATCACAAAATGCAAGATGATTACATATTGTCTGCCAAACCACTAAATCATAGCCTAGCTGCGATGACACATAACATTAATCTTTACAGTCCTAATAAAGGTAGTGTCTCCAATTCAAGACCTCAGAAAATAATAACTTGGCTAAAAGGGAAGAAGTAAGCTAAAATAATAAAAGTAAACAAACCCATTACCATCAAGTCAAAGCTGACTCAGTTTGACTATAGAACAGAGTAGAACTGCTCCATGAGGTTTTCAAGGCTGGAATCTGTATAGAAACAGACTGCCATATTTGTGTCCTGTAGACCAGCTGGTGGGTTCTACAGATAACCTTTCAGTTAGCAGACAAGCACTTAATCACTGTGCTACCATGGGTCCTTGAGGTTTGGTGCTGTTGGCTATGTTCCATGGAGTCAATTCTGATTCACAGCAACCCTGTATAGTGTCTCCAAGGCTATAAATCTTTATGGGAGCAGAAAGCCTCATCCATCTCCTATGGAGTAGCTGGTAGTTTCAAACTGCTGACCCTGTGGTTAGCAGCCCGACTCATAACCCACTATGCTACCAGAACTCCTTAAGGTCTAGCATACTATTTATAAATGAAAATAGTATCTTCCCCTCACCTACACACACACACACATACACACACACAGAATTCTTGTAAGAAGAGATAGTCAGTTGGGTTAAGAGAAAAACAAAACATAAAATCTAATTATATCCAATTTATAAGATCCATTTTATTAGCTATCCAAGCTAGTGAAAAAGATGAAAAATGCTTAGTGAGTTTTAAAGTGTTATGTGTTTTTGCATATACATGTTAACTAGGGGTCTTTTTGTACTCTACATCCTTCTGACTTTTATCCATGGGGTATATCTAGTATGTAAAAGTTAGAATAAATATAGTGCATATGTCAACAATGTGCCTTCACCTCTGGGTATTGACGTGGTTGTTGTTGATAAGTGCTGTCAAGTTGGTTCTGACTCATAGCAACCCTGTATAGGGTTTCTGAGGAGCAGCTGGTGAGTTAGAACCACCAACCTTGCCATTCAGACAACCTTGTGGTCCAGTGCTTACCCTACAGCACCACACCTGGACTCTGTATTGACATTAAGAGTGATGTGTTCCTTCTTTTTGTTTTCAATGTTCTAATTTTCAATAAAATAAATATGTCAATAAAATAAGAAAAGCAAAATTTAAAACTACAACAAAAGAATATCCATGTCCTATTAGAAGACCTCATCTTATAATATTTCACTCAGCAAATATTTATGGAGCCAGATAATGAATGGACTACATATGCTCACCAATTAAGTAAGCAAAGCATTATGAAAGAAGCATATTTATATTAGTCTTGATTTAATTGACATGTATCAAACTTTGTATCCTACAAATAGCAAATGCATTGATTTTTAATATCCAGGAGTATTTATAATGCTCCATCTTTATGCTGCAGAGAAATGTCAAATTACCATAAAGTATAAATTGTGCATATTATATTCTCTGACCATGGAAAGTTAATTGCAAATAAGACATGAACTTTCAGAAAACATTTTATGTTATAGATAAAAGCACAGTTACAAATGATATAAAAATTAGCAACACTGAGAATATTACATATCAAAACCTGAAACGTTCACTCCTTGAACAAAAAAGGTAGAAAAACAGCATAAAAGATGATATACACATAGATCTCACCAGATGGAATACACAGAAATCTAATTAACTATATATGTGGAAGAGTTCTGGTGTGGCACTGTGGGTTAATGCTTTGGACTGCAAAGTCGGTTTGAACCACAAGGTAAGGGGTTCAAGTTTACCAGCTGCTCCTTGGAAACCCTATACAAGTGCTATGGGTCAGAACTGACTCGATGGGACTTACCAACAACAACATATATGTGAAAGAAGTCCTTGTGTGGCACGGTGGGATAAACCACTGAACTGCAAGGTCAGTTTGAACCACAAGGTCAGTGGTTCAAACTCACCAGCTGCTCCTTGGAAACCCTCTACAGGGTCACTATGAGTTGGAACCAACTCGACAGCACTTAACAACAGCAATATATATGGAAAGAGACTGTGGGAAAGCTCCATATCATCAACCAAAACAAGGCTAGGGGCAGACTGTGGAACAAACCATCAATTGCTCATATGCAAGTTTAGGCTGAAACTGAAGAAAATGAAAACAAGTCCATAAGAGCCAAAATATGACCTTGGACATATCTCACCTGAATTTTGAGATCATCTAAACAACAGATGTGATGCATTAGACACTAAAGACTGAAGACCAGAAGAGTTGTGGGATGACATCAAGAACATCATACAGAAAGAAAACAAAAAGTTATTAACAAGATAAAAAAGAAGGAAAGACCAAAATGGATGTCAGAAGAGACAGAAACTTGCTCTCCAGTGTAGAAACGCTAAAGCAAATGGGAGAAATGAGGAGGTAAAAGAGCTGAATAGAAATTTTAAAGGACAGCTCAAGAAGACAAAAGCAATTTAAGGAAATGTTAAAATTTGGACTTAGAAAACCAGAAGGGAAGAACACACTCAGCGTTTCTCAAGTTGAGGGACCTGAAGAAAAAAATTGAAGCCTCAACTTGAAATGTTGAAGGATTCTATGGCCAAATATTGAATGATGTGGAAAGCATCAAAATAAGATGGAAGGGGTCACTGTACCAAAAAAGAAACAGTTGCTGTTCAACCATTTCAAGAGAGGTAGCATATGATCAAGAGCCAATGATATTGTATCAGGAAACATGATTACAGAAAGCTTGTAAGCCCGTCTTCAGCCTATAACTGTTTGGAATATCTAAAAAGGGTTCTAGAACTTGCCCAGTGAAATGGGCCTCTTACAGAGCCTTTGCAGTATATAGGACCTTAGGTGGTATCCTGAGTCCCATCCAGAATCTTCTGAGGTGGGACATTCCCACTAGCAAGGACAAGGAGACCAGCCTGGAACAGCTAGAGCAACAGAAGATACATCTTCAAAGAAAGATCATCAGGAAAAACCCAAAACAAAAATGTCAGTATGACTGGCTACTACAAGAATAAGCAAGCTGTTCACCAGGAAGCCATCAAGGCTAGCAATCACGTTCTTTCAGGACAAACCCCCCTCTAAGACTGAAACTCAAAGGGAACACATGAGCATGCATGTAAGCTTGCTGGCTAC